TATTTTGTACTATTACATCAGTGTATAGTGTTACTGTTTTGTACTATTACATCAGTGTATAGTGTTACTGTTTTGTACTGTTACCTCAGTGTATAGTGGTACTATTTTGTACTATTACATCAGTGTATAGTGTTACTGTTTTGTACTATTACATCAGTGTATAGTGTTACTCTTTTGTACTGTTACCTCAGGGTAAAAGCAGATGTCAGGGATTGAAGCAGATGTGTTGAAAGTCTGGTTGCTGAAAGAGCTGGACTTATCAAAATCACACCACAGCTGAAGCAGAGGAACATAGAGAGAGCTTATTGCCTTTCTGGAGAATCCGTGTGCGAATACACAAATACGATGACCTAATATTGAATCAAACATCAAATTAATAATTCACACCCTGTTCAAGATCACACTTAATATATAAAAAGCGGCGTGTAAATATGAGTGAACTCATTTGTATTTCGCTGCCTGTACATAATTGGTATATTATTTAAATCAAGGATGTAAAAATGTATTGCTGATGATGTCTGTCTCTCTCTGGTTCCTATATCATTTATCTACATGGACAATAATCCAAATAGTGTATTAAATAATACTGTCACTATTGTCAACTATTTTCAATCCATTGGTTTGTTTAACATGCCCCTTCATTTGCTTAATGCTAACCATTAATATCCGATAAGTGTATTTAACGTGCTTTGATGTTTGTAATGAATTGGTGGCAACGTTGCTCTGACCTCGATAAGATAAGGACATTCTCTTCAGAAGGTAAATAGGGTTAGGTGGACTCAACTGTGAACCTATTGCTGTGTCAAGAACATTTTGTTTTCATTAGGGGTGGCAAACATGGGGTTTGAGATTCCCTCACCAAAACAGGCTCTTATTCTTTATATCTATTGTTCTACAACTGCATTATATATCGAACTCATTTTAGGCTGACCCCTTACCGTTTCATTCAGTTCTGTCCGTTTCAGTTGTGTTTCATTTAGCTTAGATATGTTTTTTGTATGAAATAAATATTAACAAAAATAAACCTGTGAAAATGTGACTTTTCTATCCATGTTTATAACCTTCGGCTGAGAAACATAAACATCTCTGCACAACATCTCTGCTGTTTGGCCAAACTCACAATGTTAATCATGGCCGCCAGGAAGTTGATGAGGATGGAGACGAAGACGATGATGTTACGGGCCATGTAGGTCTCGTTGATCCAGCAGCAGGCCTTACGCAAAACCAAAGGCAGACACTTGTAGTCTTCAGCTGTCGTCAACAGGACCAGGCATGAGTGCAGGATGATGAGCACTAAGAACTGGATCACCATGGTCACCATCCTGCAGACATGAGCAACGGAAAAGGAGAAAGGCTTCAATCGCAGCCCACGACAACGCCGCTAAATATACGGTGCCATTATGTTGCTGCAATTAAACGCTGGCGACAATTGTTCGAATGCTTGATTCAGACACATTTATTTCCCATAATGCAATCTGATTAAATTGCAGATGACACCTCACAATTGCGACATATTTTGACTGTCAAGACTACGTGCAATTATAATAATTATTGTTAATTGACTGGATGAGGTCAGTAATAATTAATCAATCATTAATCGACTTGTTTTATACATTTTTCTGGAAAGCCAAATTGCTACATAGCAAGCAGGAAGTCCACCCCATCCAGCAGCCGTGTTAAACGGTGAGGCAAAGGCAAACACTCTCTGCTACAACCCTCACGACACAGGACACTAATTTAATGTTCCCACCCAAGAGACGGCACCATTGGCAGGCAGTCCCCTCTGATCTGAGTCTAGAAGGAATCATGATGGAAACTAACCCGTCAACGCCACTTCCAGCCACATCTGCTTTCCCATTCAGGGACCCAGCAGAACAAAACCTGCTGGGCTGGAGGCCAGCCAACCACAGGATGTAGGGTCACCCGCTGCTAGCCGCCCCCCCCCACACACACACACACACACACGCGCAAATATTCACAAAACCTCCAGGGCTTTTGAGTAATCCCGGCTAATGCCGATTTGGGGAATGTGAACTAGTGCTGTCTCTCTGTTACCTGGCAGAAGGCAGCAGGCTCTGAATGGCCGTGATGAAGATGAGCACGATGAATGCGCACACCAGGTTGGACTTGAACACTTCATCCCTCATTTGGGAATACTGCATGGAGAAAGATCAGGAGAAAGAAAGACAAGAGAGACAGAGAGAGAGAGAGAAAGGAGGATTGAAAGACAAAGGAAGCCAGACAAAAACCTTCACCGCTCTACATTTCAGTCCAGCGCGCCACATCTCAGTCCAACTCAGTTCACATCTCCATGGCGATGCCACCACAATCACATGCCACAGTTTCACCACAAACAGAGATGAGGAGGGCGAGGAGAACAAAACAATGCATGCTGGGTATCTGGGAATGACACGGAGGTTGGGTTGTTGTGAAGTGACCGTGCTTTAATGCAAGATGCTAAACTCCCACAGCCAGTGGCTCCTGATCGACGCAATTTACAAGGCGTGTTTTCGTTTCGATTTTCTTTCGACAGCTTGTTTGGCTCGGGAATACGGTCGCACTGTTACCATGCGAAGTGATCCCAGACAGAACCTGTATCCAGATCTAAGATGGGGTCATCACAAACCACGGGTCTCTGCAGAAAGGCTCTTTCTGATAGGCTGGAGCGATGGCGTTTATATATTTACACACGTACAACATGGCAGTAATGTGAGTAATGTGTAGAACTGCAGTAAAACGGCACAATTTGATTTTGTCCACCGCGGCAAAGCGTGAGCACAGTTTGAACCGGCAGGGGTTGCATGAGGTCGCGAGCTGCGGCTTGATTACTAAGCCCTGTGATTTGTGTGACTGGACCTTATGACAAAACGCTCTACTAGCCCTTAGCTAGCCAGTATACTACTAGCCACCACATTTGTTGCCGGTGGTTCATAATGCGGTTTTGAGAAATACTTTGACATCGCACACCACGACACCCATGACCCCCTTCCTCTTTGTCGCTTCCTGAGAAGGTGTTGGGGAAATTAGCAAGAGAAGACTTCAGTTGTCATGTCTAGAGCGAAAGCAAGGGAGTGAAAAAGGAAACTCACTGGACATTCGGGGAGAAACTAACTGAAAATATGTGCGTGCGCTGAATGTTTAACTTAAGATAGGCACACTACGGAAGGTAAACACGGGTAAGGGGCAAAGGTCAACTGAAAAGGTCAACTTAAAGGTCAAGAGTGTAGAAATGAGGCTTCACTCTAAGGAACAAAAAGCGGGAGGGGGGGAAACGGGAAAGCAAAAAAAACTCCAAAAAAGCCGAAATGCCTCAACTGTTTGAAAGATTTGAAAGGAGAGTAGGTCCATGGTCATTGGGTCATGAGTAAACTGAAGGGGACTCTGCCATCATGCCAAAGCAAAGTAGCCAGTTGTCACACACCAACCTAGCTACCTAATGGCGCATTATCAGTACAACCACGTTACGATGTTCCAGTAATACAGTCATTTATTTAAATGCAATCCAAATGCAATCTAAGCAATTTAAGATGTGTGCCATTTTAAATGTTGTTCTGAATAGTAATTTGATGTAGTTTTCAAACAATTGTTGAGTAAGTAACTACATTTTATCTGCCTGAGGGAAAATTATAGTGGACACTGATGGTCTGGATTCAAACCAACTTAGATCAACATTGTCTTTAACACCATATTCATACAATATAAATAGTATTGCTGTGATCTTAGCTGGCAAATAAAAAGCACAGTTAGTTAACTTCATTTTCACTTCTGCTTTGGTGTATGTTTTAACATCAAACAATAATAAGCCAATCATACTTCTATCAGGATTTGAATGCTAAAATTGCACGGTTGTAATTAAAGTCTTTTTTAAATAACAGTGAAATATCAGTGGAATGTTATGTATCTACATTGGTTTGAATCCCTACATTATATTGATCAATCACATTTTAAGCAGCAGGATATTTGTAGAGGGGAGAATCCAAACTCAAATATAAGGAAAGAACTTAGTCATTGATGCCAATAACAGAAATATGACTTAAAATACACTGTATACAATTTGTGTACATTTGTATTGCTCTTAATGAAATGCCCTCGCACTTATTTGTGAATGATCGCTATTGTGTTTAGTTAGAAACAGAAACAGTATTCTTAATTACTGAAAGTGGTTTGTAGGCGAAGTGCCTTTAGCTTACTCATGAATGAAAAAAAAAATTGGTTCTGAAATTGATAGCTGGAATAGATATTAAATGAAAAAGGAAATCTGTCTAAACCCCAGCTACCTTTTCTTCCAGGCTGGAGTCTTTAAACATCAGTGAAAAAGGCTTGATATGCTCTCTTCTCAACTTATCGCCACTCCGTAAGTCGATGATGCTCTCTATTCGCTTGTTAATTTCCTCAGGACCAGAGTGGACATGCAAAGCTTGTGCAAGATGGTTTGGAAGCAGATTTATTGAATTTCTCGTTAGGGCAGCCAGAGTCTGAGGGAGAGCACATGCAAATAGAATAAACCTGCTTATCCCCATATCATTCAGTTAACAAAAGTAAAGCATACACAAATTATAAAAAAAACAAAACGGATTATAAATGCAACAGTTTCTTAAACAGGCAGGCTCATAGCTGATCGTGTATCTCCCACTCACTCATATAAAAGTGGAGGCGAGCAGCAAACGTAGACACATTTAATAACGTCCTAATCATTCTAAACAGTTGTATAGATCCGTCAAAGATCAGTGTGAGGCACATATTAACAACACAAACATAACTGACAACACTTGGTAAGAAAGAAAATGTGCTGTGACCAAAACAACATGACAACACGTCTACAACGAAAATAAATAATCGTATATAAGATTTACTACTGGACTAGTGCATTTTGTCTTTCTAGTTTAGCTCGCTAGCTATCCAGTGAACAAGAGTCCCTTGTTGACGAGAGGAAACACCCTTTTAAGCGTAGACTTTAAATTAGTTTGATAATTAATGACAGCTGAATGACAGAGAATATAGTTGGTGTAGCTCAATGGTAGAGTGCATGATCTGTATGTATGATGTCCTGGGTTCAATCCCCAGCTTCTCTCCAGGTGGCTGTTGCAAATGAGAATGTGTTCTCAATCGACCTACCTGGTAAAATAAAGGTTAAATAAAGGCCTTCAGCCTGTGTCATTGCGCTCAGGAAGCACTACGACGAGTGGTTACAAATGACTACTGAACCTGTGTTGAACCGAGCCGCTTGCCAGAAGGCACATGTCTCAGTCTGTCCCTGAACAAAGCTAACGTGGTAATTTTCTTCCGTCCATGACTTTATATCTACGGTAGTATGATATTATCCCGCAGAATAAATGACTAACATTGAGTACTATCCAGATGTTGTCCCGTTGAGTCTGACGGTATAATTAACTTAAGTACAATATAACCCGTTTAATGACCAGAGACAAAAGCAACAATACCTCATGCTTACTTGATTAACTGAATACCTCCAGTCTTATTATAACACTAAAATGTTCCTCTGCGTGGTGACAAATAGGTTTTCGCTGAAGGTTTTAACCTCTGAGTGCATTAGGAAACGTCTGCCAGGTGAAATTGGTTTAAGAAATAGTTTGAGATATGTGTCACACAATATGACTGCCAACTGGAAGCTGCTGGCTCATTTCTTTAAGTCATTTTACAAAGCCCCTCTTTGTAACAGGTCGATGAGGATAATGACCTGCTATTTGAATTGGCTTCCAACTCCAAGCACTAACACGCTTTCTCATAACTGACGGGTGGCTCGTTTATGTAACTACGTCCGTCCGGAAATCGAGATGATTTACGACAAGTTCAAGTGACACAGGGCAATATTGATGAGTCACTTAATTCATCTAAGCACCTGACATTATAGCTATCCGTCATTAGCTACTAGACGCAATACTGACCACGGACGAGTCCCATTAACGATATCACCCCGTGTGAAGCCGTTCGTGTAGTTATGATTATGTGTAATCTGGATGAGTGTGTGTGTGTGTGTGTGCGTGAGTGTGTGTCTGTCTGTACGTGTCTGTGTGTCTGTGCTCAACTCATTGTCTGGCCAACTGAGCCTTATTTCACAGATCCTTTATGGCGTCAAGCGCTTCAAATGGCGACTTCGCGCGGCTTTGCGGAAATCCATTATGTTGCGGACACGTTTGTGTCCTGCCTCGGCTATGTCATCGGGTCAGTCAACGGCTGTCTGTCAGACATGTAAACTGCCGAGGGAGGCACACAGATGAAAGTTGTGATGAGCGGGGCGTGGTCAATTAAAACGTATAGCTGACGATTATATTGGTTAGACAACATCGTATCCGACCTGCAACCAACTGTTCTCCCTTTGTCCTTGCACTCTCCAACATGGGCGTGGCCCGTGGCACTCTCCCTAACCGCACATCGTTGTTACCGAGCAAGCTATTAGCATTACTACAGACGTCAGATAATTACTAAACGATTGGGCCATCAGCAGCTGTGAATGTACACTGACGAGACAAACTAGACCACCTGCCAGGTGATGTAAAAGAAAAGCTGGGTCCATAGAACCAGGCGACCTTACACAGCTGCAAGGTCCAGTTTATATGCTTGCGTGTCCATTTTGAGGCGTTTTTCACAGTGGACAGGTGTCATAATGGGCCCTCTGACAGGCCTGTGGCTACGCGGCCCTGTACGGAGCAGGGTGTGATACACTGTGTGTTGTGGCACATTCCCCTGTGACCTGCATACACATTTTTTGTGGATTGTGTTAAGGTGGGACCTCAGTAAACAGTAGTCGGTTCAGACCAGACATGATAGCATTTGTTGCCCTCACACATCGATGATCCTCCTGGCTCCGGTTTGTGGGCTGTTCCTCCGAGGACTAGCATCAGTAGCTTCTGACCAGAGCTAACCTAGAGGACTACCATCAGTAGCTTCTGACCAGAGATAACCTAGAGGACTACCATCAGTAGCTTTTGACCAGAGCTAACCGAGTAGACTACCATCAGTAGCTTCTGACCAGAGCTAACCGAGAGGACTACCATCAGTAGCTTTTGACCAGAGCTAACCGAGAGGACTACCATCAGTAGCTTTTGACCAGAGCTAACCGAGAGGACTACCATCAGTAGCTTCTGACCAGAGCTAACCGAGAGGACTACCATCAGTAGCTTTTGACCAGAGCTAACCGAGAGGACTACCATCAGTAGCTTCTGACCAGAGCTAACCGAGAGGACTACCATCAGTAGCTTTTGACCAGAGCTAACCGAGAGGACTACCATCAGTAGCTTCTGACCAGAGCTAACCGAGAGGACTACCATCAGTAGCTTTTGACCAGAGCTAACCGAGAGGACTACCATCAGTAGCTTCTGACCAGAGCTAACCGAGAGGACTACCATCAGTAGCTTTTGACCAGAGCTAACCGAGAGGACTACCATCAGTAGCTTCTGACCAGAGCTAACCGAGAGGACTATCATCAGTAGCTTTTGACCAGAGCTAACCTAGAGGACTACAATCAGTAGCTTCTGACCAGAGCTAACCTAGAGGACTACCATCAGTAGCTTCCAGAGGTGGGACAAAGTCATTGTTATGCAAGTCACAAGTAAGTCTCAAGTCTTTGCCCCGAGTCAAGTCGAGACAAAGATGAGGCAATTCCCGGGTCGAGTCACAAGTCAAAGCCAACAAGTCCAAGTCGAGTCCAAAGTCCTACCATTTTAGTATCGAGTCATTTCAAGTCATCTTACCACAGAAATAAAATTTATACAAATCATGTATGTCTGTAAGATTTGTATTTATTTAAACCTCTTTTTATACAATGACATTAATCAAAAACAGTAAAAAACTGACGTAATGTTTTCTGTGTTGCCGTCTAACAGTTCCAGAAATTATGTCATATGACACAGCTCATTTACAAAGATCTCTAGAAACGGCCACGTCATTGTCATGCCTGTTTTTGCCTTAGAGACCACACACAGACAGAGGAAAAAGCATAAGCAAACTTAGATAAACAGAGGGTGAGTCGAATGTGTTCAAACCCAGCTGTGAATAAATGTAATTCACCAAAGTATCAGGGATGAAGGGAGCCGAGATAGGAGAGAGGGGGAGGAGGTGCGCTTAATAATGACTCCTCGGTGGAACAGTACGCATGAGGAGAAGCCTCCCGCTGGCTCCTGTCTGACGTCATCGTGTCCGTCAGAATAGTAGCCTCCGGTGTTCATATCTCAGCTCACGTCCTGCAGACAACCAGACATCAAATCCCACGCTAAGTGTCAGAGGCAACGTAATCCACAGCCGGGTCCAGAAACAGTCGCACAAGGGCCCGTCAAAAAACGGGAATTAGGGCAGACGCGAATGCGTGTCAAAATGCAGCAAAATCGCTGCAAAAAGGTGTCTTAAATAGATGGTGGAGCAACTCATTAAGGTGTCAGCTGAGATATTAGAAGAGATGCCAGTAGAAGGTATTGAAGGTCACTTTATTTAATGTGGCTGTTCGTGCCTGAATAGTGGTATGGAATGTGGTTCCTCTTAGCATTTCCCACACGTTTGTGGTTCCTCTAAGCATTTCCCACACGTTTGCGGTTCCTCTAAGCATTTCCCACATGCTTGCGGTTCCTCTAAGCATTTCCCACAGATTTGCGGTTCCTCTAAGCATTTCCCACATGCTTGCGGTTCCATTTCCCACATGCTTGCGGTTCCTCTAAGCATTTCCCACACGCTTGTGGTTCCTCTAAGCATTTCCCACACATTTGCGGTTCCTCTAAGCATTTCCCACACATTTGCGGTTCCTCTAAGCATTTCCCAACATTTCCTTCTAAGCATGTCCCACACGCTTGCTTCCTCTAAACATTTCCCACACGCTTGCGGTTCCTCTATGACATCAGACAGGATTATGTGAGCGCAGGAACAGCTGGCTCTGGTCTGCTTATAATCCCCTCAACTAGAGCCCCAACAGTTTAAAAAAACATTTGAGTGGGATGTCTTGCTTTCTCTAGCATCTCTGGTCCCTTGTCACTTATACACAACCTGAAGTCAGCAAACTCTTAATTCGGACACTTCTCTTATTTAGACTTTGGCAGTGCAACTTGGCTCCAAGCAGTGGTCAGCTGTAAGGACCCAGACTGGGGGAATAAACATTCAAAAGACAGAGAAACACACTTGGCCTTGCAAATGTCTACCAATAGACAGGAACAAAGAGTAACCTAAGATAATAAATATAACTGGATGAACAGTGTAACAGATTACATTGCTTGATATTGAGAAACAACTAGCGCTTGCTTAAAGGCAGGTATTTTACATCTAGTATATATGGGTTAATTCAAATTGTGTTTACTTTGAACATAGCAGCAACACATACATTTGTTTTTGCCAGCCAAGATGTTTGAATCTGCCCTGGAAGAGATAAGCCAGTATAGGTGGCTGGATCTCTGCCAGAGTATAAACCTAGCCTACATCACAATCTGGGCAGTATGCCAAGCTACATAATGACAACCAGGATATTTCTGACTATGTTTTCTCTAAAAATATTTCACATGATATCAAGGTACAACAAACATGCATGATAAGATTAACTCTGCACCTCCGACTTCGATGTAACTGTAGTGTCCAACTGAAACGCATTAGTACTCTTTAATCCTGGGAAATCACGATATCAAATGTCTTTTTTTTGTTTTTTGTTTCAACCCCTGGCTCTGGGCCAAAAGCTGTTGAAAGCTACCCTCATCCTTAGTTCAGAACCAAATGGTCTGGGGAAAAAAGGTTACAAAAACACTGTGTTAGAACAACACTCATGTTTGGGCAGACAAAGAGACCTCAGAAGCGTGTTCAACATGGCACTGATGTTCACCTTTCACAACCAATAACTAAATAACTCACAGGCTGATAAACATATTTGATTTGGTGCATTTAGTTCATCGCAGTCTGCAGAGGCCAATCACATAATCTGTCACGCACAATTCTAGCTCTATGCACAATGATAGCTCTATGCACAATTCTAGCTCTATGCACATTACAATGATAGCTCTATGTACAATGATAGCTCTATGCACAATGCTAGCTCTATGCACAATGCTAGCTCTATGCACAATGATAGCTCTATGCACAATGA